GGTAAATGGCATACTGGTATAATATACATGGACAATGAATGAAGTCCTTGATCTGTTGTATAAACAGATCTTGTTGTCAACTCTAATTACAGTATTGCTTTCGATTCCAATCTTGGTACTGCTCCTTATTTTATTCTTATTCACTTTTTTGATTCTCATCCCAGCCCCACATTCGATTTTGACCTTGGTCCATTCTCGATTTCGATTCCGGTTCTGTTCTCAATTTTGATTTTGGTTTTTGGTTACATCCACGGTTATGTTCTTTGCCTTGTATTCAATTTTAACTTCGCTATTGGCCACCGTGCCGATTTAGATGAAGGTGAGGGCAAACACTATACCAAAGTATAATTTTAATATAAATAAATTACTCTAAGGTAGTGGCAGCTTCCTGTTAACGAGTAACTTTTTAAAATTATCTTAAAATTCTGGTTCTAGTATACACATATGGAGAGAGCCAGATATAAATGATAGTTTTTTTTTATCTGGAAACTTCTTGACAAATAACATTTCACAAAAGCTTCATCATAATCTGACAATTGGCTCATAGGCCACAAACAAGGAAATATTTATTTATAGATATGTAACTGTTTGCTATTTGACAAAATAAGACAAAAATATATCAACTATAATACATAAGCGCATACCAAGTTTTATTTAAAACATATACTTTTCAAAAAACCTGCATCATTCATTACACGATGAGTGTATTTTACTTTATTTTTATTTTAAATATTTTATTTGATTTTAGCAACATAAATATATATATATATGATAATTAACTTTCGCAAACAAATCACAATTGCTGTTATGTGGTGAAGTGCAACGAAAAGGCGTGCGCATCGACCAAGCAGAGTTGCAAGAGATACTCAAAGACAACAAGAGCCCTCGCTGCTTGAGCACCAAAGACATCATGCTCTATATTGGTGAGTTCAGTTTTACATTAAGAGATTTTATTTTAATTATCATTCATCTTTTATTGTGTTAAAAAACTCCTTCAGTTGCTAGATCGTTGATTGCATAAATAAATCATTTTGATGACATGATGTTTCATCAAATAATGTACTTTAGAAATGCAAATAATCAATGTTATTGTCAGTGACGACACCACGATGCTGGTTTAATAAAGGACCGTTTTAATAAAACACATTTTTCACTATTCACCGCTTTCCCTGCATCGCTTGCAATGTACTCGCCGGCGATCATAGCACTATTGACCAGCGGGTCCGGCACCTGTATTTATACTTACGCACCTGCGCGGACGGGTCTCTATGCGAGTGCGTGTTGTGTGCTGCCGTGTGCGGGAGAGTAGCCGTTCATTTATCTTCCTCTAACAATTTTATTTTATGTACAGCATTTAATGTTTACAGTAGCGTCTTATATCTAGTACATTATATCTAATTATTTACATGTACTCTTATATCTAGTTTGACACATATTTATTATTTAATATCGTATATACTTCGGTGTCCGTTTCTCTTTTTTTAGCACTTTGTTTATTTTTAAACTCGTCGTGCACATTCTTTCGCCGTTGCCTTCTTGCTATCCCTATTGCGAAAGCACGACCAGTTTCTTCGTAGCACGGTGCAGTACCCCCGTCGGTGTTCTCAAGTCCACGACTCGTACTATTCCGTCGGCGCCGAGATAGACAGCTGTCACGCGCCCTTGTAGCTAGGAGTTATGTGGCAGCATCTCATCCATGAGCAGCACGATGTCCAACTTTGGGCAGCCTCCCGTGTCTCGTGGGTTCCCGCCGGTGTTGGAGCGTGGACAGATATTTCCGCACCCAGCGGGAGCAGAAGGCGTCGGCGGGGCGCTGACTGCGGCGTCACTGCTTGCGTCCATATTCATTGCTCTCTGAAAATGCGCCCGGTGTCGGTACTCTTCTTGAGCCTCCCAGCAGGAAATAATTTGGCGTGAGTGCTTCGGGCTCATCCGCAAACAGGGACACGTGTGTAAGTGGGCGGCTGTTGACCGTGTACTCGGTCTCTAGCAGCAGCGTCGTTAGCACGACGTGGGATGGCGTCACGTAGCGTAGCGTCTAACCCATTTCACGCTTTGCACCGTTCGCTCCCATGCGCCTCACGTGAAAGGCGTCTGGGAGAATGCAGTGCCACTGTATGGTTTGAGTGGACGCCTCGCGCGCCGTTGCCTCTACTGCTGTTCTTCGTAGTTCTGTGTCTGCTTCTCGGAGGTTGGTGCCACTGTCGCACCAGATTTCGGTTCGATGCTCCTCGTCTGACTATCATGCGCCGCAAAGCGAGTATGGCGTCGGTGGGGATGAAGCCCGCTACCTCCAGATGTACGGCTCGAGATGATAGGCACGTGAATAGGACGACGTATCGTGGCTTTGCCTCCCTACCGTGACCTCATATGGTCCGAAATAGTCGAGCCTTACATATGTGAAGGGGAGTTGCTGGTGGGCGAGTCGGGCTTTCGGCAGATTCTCTACCTTGGGTTCAGGTGGGGCTGCGCGGCGTATGCGACACGACACACGATTTGACGACCGTGCGTACCGCGTTTTATAGTCGGAGCATCCACAGATGCTGGCGCACCTCGTCTATGCCTCTATAGTGCAGGCATTCGTGGGTTGCCTTGACGTATAGGCGACTGTATAGGTGTATGGGTGATCGTCATCGATCACTGGTGGAGCTTTTGTCATTGTCAGAACGTCTTTTGCAGCATCTATTCTCGAGTTCAATCGCAGGAGGCCCTCGGGACTTACGTAGATTGACAAGCTCTGGAGGCGGCTTCCTCGCGGTGGGGGGCGACGGGCTCGCAGCTCTGGCAGTTCTCTTTCGAAGCATTCCTTCTGGACTGCCCTTGTCCAGATCTCTTCAGCTTGTGAGAGAAAGCGTGCCTCCAACTGCGTTGCGGCATCTCTCGCGCTCGTATTTTGCTCGACCCGGGTTCGTGTCGTCGACTTTCTCCAGTCCGGATCGGTTTTCGTTCTAGGTTTCGTCTGTTCCTTTTTGGCGGCGTTTATCGTCGCTTTGGCTGTGGGCATGCGGCGGTTTGATGAACTGTAACGCTTGGGTCGTAGCTCTTCGTAGTCTGCTCCACGACGAGAAGTGTTTCACATCTGGTAGGGCTTCTCGTGTTCTGCTATTGTCTCTGAGTCGGGCTGTGTGCACTCCTGTGCTGTACTGTGTGCAGTAATGAAAAGGGGTTTTGCCTGAAATTTTAGTTCAGATTCTATGTATAAAGAATTTATGATATTGAAGAAATAATTTATTACTTTCCATTAATATTTTGTATGTTTAATTGTTTCCCAATACTGACGCCATTTATAAAATACTCAAAAAGGGAAGTTTGAAACGAATTAAGATATTTCTATTTTGTTGTCAGGATTGTCAATTTTACTCAATAAAAATATAACTTATAATAGTAGTTATTAGCGCACGTATGCGTTAATATTGGGCGTACCTAGCATTTGAGGCGTATGCATGTATTAAAATGTATAGACAGTGTAAATACTAGTAAGCTTAAGAGATGAGTGGTTCTTTCTGTTCGCTGTAGGTCATAGACGTGTTGAACCAATGCCATCCTTCATTTTAGAGGATCGATGGTTAAGAGAGTAATCAAAGATAATACAGTAGTGGAATCTCGATTTTGCAATGGTATCATAAATAGGTAATGCAATCAGTCTTTGAATTAATTAGAGATTTGATGTATTTTTGATCCGGGCCACATAGAGGAAAAAAGAAAAATATACTTAAATTGGTATTATTTATTCATATTAGTTTTAAGGATTTATCAAACATACATTTGACTTTATGCAATGTTTTGTAATTCTTTTATAATATGCCTTTTATCTTTGTTCTTTTTTGATAAACAATCTACCAACATAATGAGTATGCGTAAGTTGGAATTTTGTCATGAAAAAATATTTGCTAGAAATGAAATGTAGGTATGATAATTTGTTGCATATTTTATATCTATGGACTTCATTAACTCCAGTGATATTGAATGAATTTTGAATTTATCTTGAAAGATCAATTTAGACCAAAACATTAATTAATTAGTTTTAGCCCTACACAATAAAATTTAACTTATACTAAGATAAATAAAAAATACTAAGAGAATTTGGTTGTGGGGTGTTAATTCATCCATCATACAGCCCTGACCTTGAACCTTCAAATTTTCACCTGTTTCAGTTTGTTCATTTCAATTCTTTGTGTAGTGTTGGTTAACATTAAGAGGGCTGTCAAAACTACTTGTAAAAGCCCAAAATTTCTACTACAATGAGATTATGTCACTACAAAATGGCAACAAGTTATTGAATAAAATATATATATATATATATATATATATATATATATTTTATTCAATAACTTTTGCCAATATTATTAATCATTAATAACAAGACTAACCTAACAAACAAAATGAAATGAAACAGATGATGAAGTTCAGGTCAAGGTATGATGGATGCTAACTAACAAATTCTCTTAATTGCTGAACTAAAGATGTGTGTGGTCTAGCATTACCATGGTGAAAAACCATATCCTTTCTATTGATCAATTACAGCCGTTTTTTCTCTACTTCTAGCTTGAGTTTTATTAGTTGTTAGCAGTAGAGATTGGAATTAATGGTAAAAGCTCATAATGAATAATGCCCTTCCAATCCCACCATACACATAACATCAACTTATTGCAAGTTAATCCCGGTTTTTCTATAGTCTGTGGAGCTTGCTTGTCTTTGGATCATGATCTTTTTTGCACGTTCTTGTCGTAGGTACTCCATTTTTTGTCACCAGTAGTTATTTTTTTCCAAAATGATTCAGATTCATTATGCTTCAATGGAGAATCGCAAATGAGTACACAATTTATTAGATTTTTTTTAGTGAGCTTGTGTGGGACCCACATATTGAGTTTTGGAACGAGGTTCTTTATTGCACGCTACACTCGGCGAATGTAACGTTACACTACACGAAAAAAGCGTAACCGCAACGAAAAATGCTGACTGCTGATGCTTTAATTGACATTTTTATAAATTTGTTTGCCAACGTCCATTCCACATTGAATACACCAGTTCTTGTCCGATCACCGAAGTTAAGCAGTATTAGGTGTGGTCAGTACTTGCGTGGGTGACCGCCTGGGAGCACCGCGTGATGTTGGCTTTTTTTTGGTGTTGCATTCTTTTTGTGGTAATTTAATTTGTATGTAATAATGATAGTGTTATAATCATTTATATTATAATATTTTATTACCATTAATTCATTTTTTTATTGTATTTTTTGTATTATTATTTTCAAAGGTTGTTTATTTATTTCATTCTGCTTGTATATAATTTATTATTCCCTTTTTTTCTTCAAAATATTAAATGAAACTCTTAGATTGGTCTCTGTTCTGGAGAGTATTCAATTTTAAATTTTCAATAAATAAATACTTATATAAAAATGTAAAAGTGACATCTAATATTGATTTCATAATTACATAACTGTGCAAATTGATAAATTTAACAAAGTCATTAATAAATAAAACATGACACTGTTTAGTGCCTTTTCACATTTTTAATAATTATTCAAAAAAATGTATATTTACAAATTATAAATATTTTTTACCATTTATTGATTTATATTATTATTATGTAATTAGTTACTTTCAAATATTTAATTAATTTCTTTGTTATTATTCAATTCATAAAATATATTTACTTATAGCAAAAGGAACTTCGTTCCAACCAAGTGATTTAATGAGTTTTTATATATTCAGCTTTTTTCAAATAGATCAAAACTGTTTTGTGGTCAATCCCCAGCTCTTGAGCTATGTCGTAAGAACTGATATACCGATTTTTCTCTCTTTGTTCCAAAATGGCATCGACTTTATCACAGTAACAGATCAGCCAAAACGTGGTTATTCTTTGACATCAAAATTACCAGACTGAAAAAGCTTGACCCAGTTTTGTGCTACTCTTAATGACACTGCATCAGGTTCATAAAGGTCACAAATTTAATTTGCAGTTTGTGTCCCATTTTTTCTTTTTTTTTTGCAATAAACCTTCAAAACATATCAGATTTTTAAGTTAGATTCAATTATTTTGGTGGACAGAAAAACAATAAAAAAATGGTGGAACATCGTTTTTATTTTTTATTTTTCTTTTTTATAATGTTATCTATTTAATATTGTCAAAATTAGTAGATATAAACAGCACAGTCAGAGATTTTGTTGCACCTTCTATACTAATATTAAATATAAACGCGAAAGTTTGCAAGGATGGATGTTTGTTGCTCTTTCACACAAAAACTATTGAATGGATTTTGATGACACTGTACAATAATATATAGCTTACACATCAGAATAACACATAGGCTATAATTTATAAAGATATAGTGTGAATTATTCAAAAAATAACGATAAGTGTCGAGTAAGTAGGAAAAAAATCTGCCAGCTATTCTGGCTTGCGCTGCAAAAACCGTTGGAATTATACATATATAATGTATAATGGAAATATTTATCTTAAATAGTCCTAAAAACAAGCCCATGACAGCATATATCTATCTTTGAGTAAGGCATTATCGCCAAAATAATGAACCATAAGTACAATAATAATTGATAATTTTTTTTTCTTATGCACATTTGGTAGTAAGAAATAGATCCTTATATCAAAATAAATACTTTTATCGCATCTGGTGTTTAAAGTAGATAAACTTTGTCTTTTACACTATATCATTTGAACAAATATTTGAATAGCTATGACGATAGACAAGCGAGTGCGCGATATTATGGTGCGGTGCGGCGACAGGGTTAAACCATAAAGGTAGCAGGCATACATTTGAGCACGCAATGTTTTTCCTACGGCCAGCTCTATGTGGCTTGCTCACGAGTTTCTAAATCGCAAAATCTGCATGTTTATACAGACTCAAATAAATCGTTTAACATAGTTTATAGGAGTATATTGCAGTAGCCACCTATAACTTTTGCACTACCATCAATCATTATATACTTCCGTACCTATCTATCCTTACAAACTGTAGCGTTTATAATACCTATAATACGTAATAGCGAATTAATCTTGAAAAATACTTAGCTCCAATTTACATACATTACACAATGTAATTGTTCGAACATTTATAATTGGAGAATAGTTGGACCGATTTTCATTTTAATTAATAGTGATGTTATGTGTAAACTAAAATGTATAAAAAATCAGTAGGTATGGATTATGTTTATTTTCCAACAATTTTTAAGCTGTCGCTTTATATTGCTTTATAAAACATCAGCCATGTAAACGAAATAGCTACGAATATATAGGGGCTGTGGTTATAACATCAATGTGTATAAATTGGCCCTATAAAAAATTTTCCATATGAACAAGATGAAAGAATACATTTTATGCCTACGCGGGCGGAGTCGCGGGCAAAAGCTAGTTTTTATTATAATATACGAAAAAACTCTCCCCGAGCTAATATATACAAGAGTAAATATATCAATGCCCAGCCCAAACTACTGCGCCTACAGACTTGAATTTTTGTAGAGATTACTGTTATAACGTCGGTGTGCAATAAGAAAGGATTTTTAGAAATCCTACCCCTAAGATTGTGTAAATGATGAAATACAAATGTCAAATTTATACACATTGTATGTTGTATGAAAAATGGAAACCGCAGGAGCCATTTGTTTAAAAACTTATATCTTAGTTAATCACTACTAATAAAAAATGACGCCTTAATTAACATGAGATTTAAAACATATCGGTAACGGTATCGGAATCGAAAACGGGACGGGAAACGGAATTAAGAACGCGACTAGGGCCAGAATCGAAAACGGGTCTTGTTGAAAATGAGTCTGGAGTCGAGATCAGAATCAATAGTGTGACAGGGATGCCGTATCGAAAGCAAGAGCGGAATTGAGATTGACATAGTTCAATACAAAAGATGAAGAAATCATTTCTATGTTCATCATGGCGGAGCGCCGGCTTTAACTAAATGGATAAGCTACCCACAAAAAAAGGGCATAACAATGTTTGCCGGGTCTGCTAGTGTACATAATGTCTAATTATGATGGTGTACTATGTACCAACTTCAAAATGTCAATCTGTCATTATTTTTATTTACATCCTTTATTTTATCACAATAATTTAAAAGCATAAATTTCTTTAATTTTTATTGCATTCAATTAAAAGAATTCAATCTTTATCTAAATAATCAAATATAAAACCTTCATAGTTTTACTTAGTTCATGTGAAGAGGTCATATAGAATTCTCAAATACTTTGACTTTCAATGTTGACATTTATTTAATGAGTTAAGATGTATGTTATTTACTCTAGCTCAATGAGGTTTTCTTGTATAATTATAATAGTGTCATATGCTGTTGCAACTTTTTGTCACTGTGATAAAATAGACAACAAGACTGATTTGAGATTATGTAAAATAACTCATATGGGTTTGTGCTATACTGGCACAATTAGCAGAACTGGACAGGGACTGAGGTGTCAGAGGTGGGCTACGGATGCTCCAGTACATAAGGTGGATAAAGCAATCACAAGTAATGATTTTCCGGAAAGATCTATGGCAAAGGCAAAAAATTATTGCAGAAATCCCACCAGAGTTATGGAAGGGCCATGGTGTTATACTATGAATCCATCTGTTGAATATGAATCTTGTGATATTCCATTATGTATGCATTCCAAATGTCGTATAACTGGTCCAGGAATGGAGTATGGAGGAAAGATGTCGCGTAGTACCACCTCGCAGAAATGTAAGAAATGGAGTAAAAACTGGTCAAATAAGAAATTAAATCTACCAAATGGTACAATAACAAATGCACAGAAATTTCCAAGGTTTCGTTTTCCAAGCAGAGATGTGGGTACTGCTGGTAAAAATTGTCGGAATCCTGATGGAGATTTAGGAGGTTAATTATAATTCTAAGATTTTTAATATAAAATTAATTAATTTTTAATTAGCAAAAGTAAAATGTTTTATGTATGCATTGTTATAAAAATTAAATATTTGGTTGATTATTTTTAAAAGTAAAGATTGCCATATTATAATAATTATAAACTTTAATGTGATCCATTTAATTGCTGTTCCTTTAAATTGCTATTTATTGCTTAATGCTTTGAAGGCCCTTGGTGTTATACCGAACAAGCTGAAGAAAGCGACCTCTTTTTAAAAGAATACTGTGATGTACCATTTTGTGATGACAGAGATTGTGAGTTATATTCCAAGCAAGGGAATTATTATTCACATTTTATAAGTTTTAATCAGTCGGCACCGAACATTACTTTCTCGGTGAGATTGTGGGATCCAGATCAAGAAGTTACAGGGGTGGTGAAGATTTTACTCAGCATTCTATGTGTACCTGCTTCACCATCAGATATAGTTCGTTGGGGTACTGGAATCGAACTGACCATTACAAACGAAGGTTAGAATGGATGAAAAACACCAGATTCAAAGTTATTGAAATAATTAAAGGGCTCTTTAATTGATATTGCTTGCATTTCCTAATTTTTTTTCGATTATGTTTATATTAATTGTTAACAGTTTGCATAATGAAAAAGAACTTAATTTCTATAATTTTTAATTAGAATATGTTCTTATGTTAAAATGTTTTATAAGTTGGATGTTTATATTTGTCTATTTCTTTTAAATGCAGATACTGTTATGACTATAGGTAATATAGAAATATTTAATGAACATACACCCCATGTATTAAAGGCGACAGAATATACTGATTTTATTTTATCTTGGTCGGATAATGTGCTTGTACTAGGTATGTTCTTTATCGTTTATTTGTTTTATTAATCAACAAAGAATAAAACTTTATTAAAACAAACATTTTGTATTATAAGGTAAGCCTGGTGTCATTAAGCTACTTTACACAAACGAGATTGACAAAATTGGTGAACTTTTAAAATTGTCAAATATGACTTTTAAATACTACAGCGTTGATGGCAGTGAAGCGATGTGGGACTTACCATTTTGCGAGGACGAATATGTTTGTGAAGAACATACAACTTTTAAGCCACATCCTCTGTTCTTCTGGCCTTTGAGGCAAAAGCATTTAAATTATGAATTAGAAATTTGGGTTCGCAGTTACAGTTCCGCTATAGTTTATTTAGTAAGAGAACCATACCACGAGTTTCCTAGAATTAATATTGTACTTGGTGTGT